AAACAATTTTTTTCTTTTTTTAAATCAGCAGTGGGGACAAGTGAGGGAATGACATATTGGTATATTTTAATTACCTAAAATAAATAAAAAATAAAAATTGATAATTTTATTTTTATTCTTTTGTTAGCTTGCATTCTGAAGGACACTTTCCCTGAAAATTTTTTTTCGTAAGTTGTAAAACAAACATAAAATATACTGGGGACATGAAAATGACTGTTTTTGTGAGAATGACCCATATATATTTAAACGCTTTTCTTCACTTTTTGCCTCACCGTTGAAAATAAAAAAAAATGTTTCAACTCACAGGATGTATGGAAAGCATTGCATTTTAGATATATGCTAACAGGTAGAAACTGTAGACCTTAAGATTAATAGTTGAAGGACTGGGTATGTCATTGTTACGTGAAATGACACTCATTTCAAACAACTTGATAACAGCTGGTATTGATTATCGGCTATTGTGCGATGGGGCTCGGTCTTGTTGAAATCCTATATTTTCAATGTTAAGAGTCAGATTTTTTTTTCAGAATGAACCAGCTTCTTCAAAATCACGCATCCACCTTGTACTATCGCAAGACTATGGGACAGATCCTAGCAGATAGTTTTTGTTCGCAATTATGACGTTGAACCTAATGCTCTGCCACAAGGAAGTATTTCACTCTGCCAAAACTCGAATTGATTGATAAATAGCAACGCATTCCAAAACTTATATATCGAATCCAAAAAGCTGCTGATGCTGCAGTGCTAACTGTACTAACGTTTAAAAAGTCCGATTTCCCTGCACCACTTTGTACGCAATTTTAAATAGAAGATAAAGCTGCCAAACATAATTATTTAAAAAATGAAAAGAATAGAGTCTTTATAAAAATACGCACAGTTTCAACTCATAAAGCGCAACTTAATTTTTTTTCTGTTTAAATTTTATATTCTAAATTAAAAGCCTTTTATTTAATATCAAAACCTCAAAAAGTTTGTTTCTGTCAAATCTTTTAATTATTCTTAAGAATATTTTAATGTCATTCAAAAAAAAATGTTTTAATAAGTTTATATGTCAATTTCAAAGGAATATTCTTTCTTAAATATAAGAGCTTAGTAAAAAGATTTAAAATATTTAATTAAATTTCATTTTTAATTTCTTTGAATTCAAACTAACATAATACAAACTATTTGAAAAAGCTTAAAGTGTTAATAAAACTCAGATTAAATTTCTCTGTCAAAATTCCAATTGATTATTATTTTGCTAATTTATTTTTTTAAATAATACATTTTTTGATGAAGTAGTTGGAAATTTTGTAATGGAAGTATTTAAAATACTGCAGATAACAAAACTTAAAAGGAATAAATATTAACACAATTTCCAGCAAAAAAAAGGAAATTCCAATTAAAATTTTTAATTAAATTAAATATAAAGATTTTTCCCTTAAACTATATTTTCTGCATGACTACAAAATATATGTCTAAGTTTCAGATTTATTAACTAAATAGTTTCGTTTCTTTTGTAAATACCGAGGCATATATAGATTATTTAGCTTTAGAATTTTATTTAATTTGAGTATTTTAATTAGGTTTGTCATATAATCTATATATATATGTAATGGATTAATTTTAGATGCATTTTTATGATTTTAATTTTTAAAATTGCTAAGTTATGATAAACTAATAATAGTATACAATTCATATTATGTAATATATATAATTACATTTTTTGGTAAGCTTTTGATAAGCTAAATAGAAGTTGATACAATTCAAAAACTTTAACTCTAAATATTAAACGGGTAAAATCATCAGAAGACGAGGAAACTCCTGAATAAGTACTCTCATATTTTGGGAGCATGGAGGACTTTGTGACTCGACTGATTTAACGTGCATCAGTCACCATTTACCACACGGGAAGCCTTCGGCTGGCGGAGAACGAACCCACGACCTCTTGGACATGAGCCCAGTGCCTTACCAACCAGGTTACCCTGGCCGTTACTATGAGGTATTAAATGAATCCATATTTCCGTGTAAGTTATACCATAATTTAGTGAAGCTAATTTGTTTAAAATGTACTATGTTATGGTTCGATCCAGCACTATATTATTATATTAGGGTTGCGACAATCTTAATGATTGTATGGTTTAACATTATTAACCATACTATAACTTAACAGTATATGTGCACCAACTATTTGAGGCTCAACAAGAGTCTTTAGTTCTTGTTCTTTATCCGAAATTAATTCCGCTTTTGAAACTTTTTTTAAATAAATTTGTATTTTTTTAGCACAGTGATGTTTGAACATTAAATGATTATTGCACATTGTATTATACTATAGTTATGCTTATTTTTATAGGCACAGATGGAAGTTGGGAAGAATGGTGGACGTATGAAGGAATATCAGGTTAGTGCTTCTAGAATTTGTCTAAAAATGCATTATTTCATTATTCAAAAATTCCACTTATTATATTTTTGCTTGAAGGTTTAAAAATTGTCTTGCTCATAAAAATGGACTATATTTCCATCATACATGAAATCATTAAATGTATTATTTAGGAATTCGGGCTTTTGTGAAACCTGTTTTATAACCATGGGTTTTAAAAATTAATTATTTATTTAATTTTGTTATTCCCTTTATTCTGCCTAAAAAAACTTATATAATCAATTCAGAAAATCATCATTAACATGCATTTCATGCATAAATTAAGAGTCTGGTGCATAGAGCCTGGCTTATTTCGTATGGCCTGTGTAGGGGATAGGGAACTGTCCTTGCAACAGAAAGCTTCTGGATTCGAATCCCGGGCAAGGCATGGATGTTCTTTCCTTCTTTGTACTATCTATCCTCACTGTGGGAGCGACGTTGGCCCACCTAATACGGTGCCTATGAAAGAGAGGCCAACAAAATCGCCCTGTATATGCCTGAATTGAAGGATGTTAACACAGGTGGGCATTGGAGAAAAAAAAACATATCGTTATTGCAGTGTAAAAAAAGTTTTTTAAAAAGTTGAGTAGGCCCTTTTTACATTGCATAATTCTGCAAGAGAAATATTTAATTCAAAACTTTTGCCGTAAAATTTATTTTCAAAGTTCTACAACTTGTTGCTCTGCATAAGGTATTATAAAAAAAAGTAAAATAGTTTAAAAATACTAGAAATTGTTAATATAATTTTTTTTAAATTTTAAATTAACTAAGAAGATATATATTTATAAAACTTTTACATCTAGTACGTAAGTTGGTCTGAATCAAATTATAAGCGTAAAATGAAGTATAATTAAAAAGTTCTTCGATAAGATCAAGTAATCAGTAACTTTTTATTTTAATATTATTTATTCCAATAATTATTGTCAGAAAATTACTTAGTAGAATTTAATAAATATTATACTACTTATATGTTGGAAAATAATGTTTCGGGGATACAAAATTAAACTTTTAATTCATTTTTTTTCAATTGTAATTTTATTTATTAATTATGTAATTTTTTGAAAAACTTAGCATTTATATCAATAAAATATTTAAGCTTTCTTAAAAAATTTCCAAACATTCTGATTAACTATTTAATTGCGATGATTTTTTTTTCATTTTCTTTCAAATATCTATAAAATAAAGCATAAAATGAGGAAACTACCATTGCAAATATGAACTAATCGAAATAATTTTAAAATCTATAAACATGCACAGGAAAAACTTAATAGTTTATAAAATTACTTTAAAATTATAAAGTTGTCACGGAATATTCAAGCGTCATAATCAATTTATCATAACTTTCAGACTCAAAATCTTTACTTCAAATGCCTGAGAAATGTTACAAATAATATTTAACATAAAGCCGTAATAAACATTGCCAATCGTCAGTTTAAGCTTTGCCACTTTTAAATTACCACTGGTCACTAAATTGCAGGGTTCGTGATTTTTTTGATTTTTTTAAAAAAAATCAAAAGAATCAGATTTTTTTGATTTAAATCGGATTTTTTTGATTTAAATCAGATTTTTTTGATTTTTATTTAAATTTACTGTAAGAACTTTAATTTATGATTAAAAAAAATTATAAATATTTAATCAAATTAACTTAATATTAAAACTATATTGTAACAATATTTTAGAAGCTCTAACTAAAATAATTTTTCATTATAATACATGGCTTTGAATGCATAGCCACCATTTTGAAACAAATGCATGATTAAAATTTAAAGACTAGATGAAATAGAGAATTTAAAGAATACTTCAGGGGTCTGTCTGGGTTTTTCTGAGAGGTACCTATTTTGTGAAAATTAAAAATTATATTATAGAATCAACACAAATATAGTAAAAATATCGATTTATCGTTTCTTACGAGACAAAAAATAAAATTTCAAGAAAAAGTATTTTGTGTGATTATTCTATCATTTTTCCTAAAGTTGAATTCGTAAAGGTACCATTAAACGGTAGTAAATTTGGCTTGGACAGATCCCTGTACTTTAACTATTAAAAAAAAGTTTCAGTTAGCAAACCATAACTTTAATTTAAAATTGTGATTTCTTTTTTTTTTCTCTTGATTTTTAAAATGACAAAATAAATGTAGCAGACTGTGTTTATAAATGTAGTCATTCATCAAAAAATAAATAAATATTTAATCTATATATTTTTATATTAAAATATTCATTTTTAATTCTATATCAAAATAGATAAGTTAAGCTTTAAAAAAAAATTAGAAAATCTATGTACTCATTGGAATTTTTTTTCACAAAATTTCTTCATAGAAAATCAGATAATGTCAAAGATACTGTAAACATATTATGAGAAAAAAATACCAGTTAATAACCCTACTGCATCAAATAGACTTTGAAAGAGTTTGAAAGGGAAGAATGAGACTATATTAGGAAAAAAAACATCTGAATTCATCAGCCCTTTTTTTTTCTTTTTCTGTTTTTGGCATATTAGGGTAATTTCTTTCTAATATAACCTCAAGCTTCAGAAATATACATTTTCCACCAATAAAATATGATGTAGATTTTATTCACGCTTTTTCATTCAAAAGGTAGAATTTTATTAACATTATTTGGATTATTTTTTGAAAAAAATTCATGTTTAGTAATTACTTTCTACAGTCTGCAAGTCTATATTAAGACAGCATTAAATGTTTACTTTAATCTGTACTTTCAATCTCAAGAATCAAAAGATTTTTAAAAATGTAATTTCAAATGCGTTAGAATTTAATACACACCAAGAAAGAAAGTAATTTCGTTAACTAAAATTAATTAATGCAGCAATTTATTTAAATTAAATTTTAATTCTAAGAAAAGAAAATAATAAAAGTATCAAAAATTTAAAACACTGTTTTTTAACTTTCAAAATCAATATATATATCGATAAAAAAATTAGTTGATTTAAATCAATGATTTTTTTAAAAAAATCATTTGATTTAAATCATGATTTAAATCGTGATTTAAATCAAGCTGATTTAAATCAGCGAACCCTGCTAAATTGTGGAGGCCTAACATCAATGACCCCCCCCCCGGCAAACAACGGGCTGTCGAGGGAATGTCTTTCTCTTTACTTTTAACATTTTGTTAAATGTACATAAAGAACAATCTATCATATAATATTTACATTAATTTATGCAGAAAAATAATGCTTATTGAATGTTAAAGTAACTGGGGAATTACATTATAATTTTATTACTCGCTAAGCAGATGTAGAAATTAAAAACTTTAGGCTGAAATAAGTTACTTATAAGTTTTTCGAAATAAAGGTAAAAAGAATGAATTAAAAATCATTTAAGTATAGTTTTTTTTAAAGTTTGCAGAGATAGTTTTCTTTGATGTAATAAAATTAATGATAATTTTTTAAACAATGTTTGTAATTTTTTATTTATTCTGCCTTAAAAATTTTAACACTTTTTTTCCCCTACCTTAATTTTTTCTTTCTAAATTTATAGATAAATTTAAATTTAATGAAAAAACATTAATGCTTCTTAACAAAATTTTTAAAGACTTCATTTATGAAATATTTCATAAATTTCAAATGGCTTCAAGTACTATGACGTAAAAGTGATATAACCTATAAGTGACAAGAATAATCTATTAGATGAAAAGCCATATTCGAAAATAACGATCAAATTTGATGACTTAACATACTCAAATTTACAATTAATGATTAAAAAATAAATCTTAAAATTATACTTTTCACTATTCCTCCAAGATTCAAACCCTGTTCTTCGAAACAAGACTGCTTACGTTAACCCTATGACTCAGATGGGACACCGGTGTCCATTTTATCTTTTTTAATGACGCTCTAATTATAAAAAATATATATTTTGGTATTTTTTTTAATTATTAAAAAGAGTCTAATAATTACTAAAAAATCTGTTAACCCTATGACGAGGTGGGACACAGGTGTTCATTTCATATTTTTTTTCTGACGCTCTAATTATAAGAAATAATATAATTTGGTATTTTTTTAATTATTAAAAAGAGTCGAATAATTACTGAAAAATCTGTTAGTTTATCAGAATTATATTTGTATTAAAGTATAAAATCCAAAAAAATTGGTTCGATTTTTTTTTCATTCATATTTAAAAATTTATCAACAATTAATTTTGTTAATGATAGAAGTTTCAAAGATGAAAGACTTCTTCTCTCAGAATTTAAATAATTGTAAATAAGAACAAACTCGAAAAATTATTATTTGGAAGTGAGCTGTGCTTGAGAGACTTGAGCTTTAACGCAGAAAAACACCAGTGTTCATGCTGTATTTCATACCCATAAATTATTAATATGCTAAATATAATATTTCTCACTTATTTGCACCTAAATTAAGACAAAACAATCAAAAAGTATGAAAAATATGTTGAATAAAAATTCATTGTCAAAGGGTTAATCACCAAGTCATGCATTTAAAAAATGCTCAGTTTATAGAATGATTCAAACAATTTAAAATAATTTCTAAATTAATGTTTTCAAAAACATTTAATTAGGTCACGTTCTTATCTTTCTTTACATAGCAAGTTTTATTGCTTCTCTTTTTAACAATTTGTAAATTGTAAATTGATTGAACATTTTTAAAATTTTTATAAAAATCGTAACAACATTTAAGTCTTTTTAAAAAAAAACATTCAAATTGTCACGGAATTCCATCGAATCATTCTCATCAATTTATCAATTGTATCAAACTGAAATCTGTAGAGCGAAACAGTTTCTTTAAAAAATTGCTGAAGCAATGCTATCAAAAACATTTAAGGCAAAGTCGCTTTAGTATCATTCTTAACATTGCAAACACATTTTTCTTTGACGTATTAAAACTATTAATCATGATCTCTCACTATTTCTAAAAGGCTGCAAATTTCATTTTCAGACGCAAACAGCTTCCAACAAAACAGTTATTTTTCCAAAAGCGATTGTGTATAATCGTTAGCCCAGCTTAAAAGA